ATATACAATCAAATGGAGAACCTTTGAAACAACAGATGCATTTGAAGTTGAAAGTATTGAATGCTTGGAACCATGAAACGGTAATAACTGAGCACTATTCGTGTTTTTAGCACTAAAAGTTGACCACTCCATACCAGTGACATATACATATTGGCTTAGCCTACAAAAGACGATGAAAAAATCTGATAAGACATTAATGATCATAAAGGAAACATGCATTCTAATGAATCATACGTTTCATACTTAAAAGATACACATCATAAAGATAATAATATGTACAAAAGTTACTGTGAACAGATAGAAAACTCTAAATATATAATAAAAAGAAACTCAATATGCAGTACCTTAGAGAAATATCCAACCATGTGGCATCCCCGATCATCACATTCACAAAGAATATAGAATAGAAACAAGTCGACGTCATAATAAAGTGTCTTGTGATCTAGAAATAGTTTAGCCATGTAGCACAGATTTTGTGCGTAAACCTTGTTCTTCTTGCCATCAACCTGTTTGAAACATTCATTATAAAAAATGATGAAGCAAGATCGCCGAGTCAAATTAATAATAAATACTGTAATACATACATATATAAAAGAGAAAGCCTTTTAGATAACAGCTGCAACTAAATAATAGACAAAGATGATTACCTCAAACATTGATAATGTGCCACAACGGTAGATCTCATCTCCTGGAGGATGCTTCAGGTCACATTTTCTCTGCAGGTTAAAGGAAAGACGAACAATTGATATGGAAAACCAAATGATAACATATCAAGGATTATTAGGAAAATAATCACCTAGAACACCATTGGGACTGAACAAGAAACCTCAGGCATGACCATGTGAGTTAGAAATGGGTAGTTTCTCGGGCTATGTGATGCATAAGAACATGGAAATTCGCTTGAATAAGAAATTTATTATCCTTGATGTACATCAAGCCGGTAATGCTCGTTTACTCAGAAAAGCAGCAATTAGTACTAACATTTATGGTAATAAAAGCATTCAAATACAGAAGTTGCTCTATACACAACTTCAGTAGCTGAGCATCACTGATCACTGTCCAACAA